AAAAAAAAAAAAAAAAAAAAAAAAAATTTTAACTCAGGGGCTGGCCCGGTGGCGCACAGCTACAGTGCGCCACTTGGGAGCGCAGTAGCGCTCCCGCCGAGGGTTCGGATCCCACATATAGACCGGTTCCCGCTCACTGGCTGAGCGAGGTGCGGGCGCGACACCGAGGGTTGCGATCCCGTTGCCAGACACGAAAAAAGACAAAAAGACAAAAAAAAAAAAAAGTTTAACTCATGTGACCTTCACGCTGAAATAGGCAATATTGTCCTCACTTTACAGAATGGTAAACTGAGGCACAGAGTAAGGTTGCCAGATAAAATACAGAATGATCAGTTAAATTTGAATTTCAGATAAGCAACAAATAATGTTTTTGTATAAGTATGTCCCCAATATTGGATAGGACATACTTACACTAAAACATTGTATTAGTCCATTTTTGTTGCTTATAACAAAATACTTGGAACTGGGTACTTTGTGAAAAAATGAAATTTATTGCTTACAGTTTTGGAGGCTGGGAAGTCCAGTGAGCACACCTGGTGAAGGCCTCCTGTGGTGGTGATTTCAGCAATGCAGCATAACACATTGTGAAAATGACAGAGAAGAGACTCTCACGTGCTGTCCTTTAAACCCTCAGAACCACGCCCATGACCACCATTATTAATCCATTCATTAGGGCATGGTCCTCAGAATCCCATCACCTCTTCAAGGTCCCCAGTTACCATAATAAGATTTCCCACCCTCTTAACACTGTCATCATGTGGACCAAGCCTCCAATGCATTAAATTTTGGGGGGACACAATTCAATCCACTGCAAACATTATTCATTGCTTATCTAAATTCAGACTTGGAGTCCTATAATTTTATTTGTTAAACATGATAGCGTTAGCACAGAGAGGTAAAGAAACTGGCTGACAGTCACCCAACTATTGGGGGAGAGACAGCATTTAAATCCAGACAATCTGACTCCAAGGGTGAGTCCTCAATTTACCTATTCTGGGCTCTGGGCACTTCCTCCTCTGACAATCTCTCTGTACTTTCCTCCTTGTCAAGAATGAGGAGGTCATGGGGGCATATTTCCAAGTGCTTAGCATAAGGCTGAGTATAAAGTACATGACTTAAGACAGAATTATTGTCATGAATTGCATGGAATAGAATAGAATAGAATAGCTGTAGCCAATTCTGATTCATTTTTGTGTCCTCCCCTCCAGGAACACTATAGGCTCTTCATGCATTTTTGTTAAGTGAGAGAATGAACAGTAACCAACAGGTCTGTGATGTTTGTGCTCCTTTCCCTGAAACTTGCATCCCTAAAACTCCTCCGAGCCCGGAGGAGTCAGGCTGGGGCTCCTAGCTGATGAGCCTCTTGACCCTTGCAGTCACCCCAAGTCTCCCCTACCATCCTATCAACTCCATTGACTGAGGGCTCCCTATATGAGCTGGAGGCAGAGGACATTGTCTTCACCCTCAGGAAATGTCCAGACTGAAGGTGACTGCAGAAAAACAGATGCTGAAGTAAAGTGATTCATAAAAACGGCCAACATGAACATAGAAGTGCACTTATTACTGATTGCAGGGCTCACAGGTATAGGACTAAGGTGAGCTGGAGGCAGAGGACATTGTCTTCACCCTCAGGAAACGTCCAGACTGAAGGTGACTGCAGAAAAACAGATGCTGAAGTAAAGTGATTCATAAAAACAGCCAACATGAACATAGAAGTGCACTTATTACTGATTGCAGGGCTCACAGGTATAGGACTAAGGAGCAGGAGAAGAAGTGAGTGGCGGAGCCAGGTGGGGTGAATCAAGGAAGCTCTCCTAGAGGAAGTAGCAGTCCTCCCTCCTCCTGTTATGGGAGGAACGATCTACAATTCACCTCTCTCCACTGTTTTCCCGGCAGATAAATCTACCACATTCTCAGTTACCATAAAGACCGGGGAAAAGAAGAATGCAGGCACAGATGCCAATGTCTTCATCACACTCTTTGGCACACAAGATAACACCGGTAAGAAAGCAATGCAGGGTTAAGGTTCACCTACATTCCTCCCCAAGGAGACTGGAAGACTCAACAGAAGTTTCCAAAGAAGTCCTTGGCATGCCTCTGTCTCTTGACAGACTGCAGGCAACTAGCCCTATCAGAGAAAGGCAGTTCTTTTTATCCTAAAAAATCTTCTCTTCTCTGTGCCAGCTGTCTCATTCTGTTCTAATGGGAGAGCTAGGACTGACCCTAACTCCACCCCCAATGACAACTTGGGAAAAGGTGGCTCTTCCCAACTTCCAGTGAGATTCAGCCAATAGGCTCCATGGTACTCTCAATAAGAGGTGCTGAAGGAATCTTAGAGTTATTCTGGAGCCTCAGCCCAGGTACTCAGAGAAGGTGGCATTTAGTGTTGGGGCCAGCCATTCACTCACTTCACCTGTCCAGCCACTCTGTCTGAGTTTAGAGAGGAGTCAGTCCCCTCAGTAATCATTATGCATTAATTCAAAACCCTGTGGGTCCAGAGCCCTGTGTCAAGCATGACTGAAGAATGAATGGAACTAATCCTTGACCATGGGTTGCTTTTATTCTAGAACAATTGTGTGTTAGCAGAGAGCATGAACTCTGGAGCTTGACTGATTGGTTCAAATTTCCAGTCCACCATCTATCAGCTATGTGATCTTGGGCAAGTTGCTTAACCTCTCCGTGCCTTAGTTTCCAACATTTTTCAAATGGGAGTAAAACTAGTATGTGCCTCATAGAGTTGTGAGTTTAATAAAATTGAACATGTAAAATATTTGGGACAAAGTGACACTCAAACATTAATTATGGTTTTTATTTAACAGATAAGATAATAGTGTATAATGAAAGAATTAGGTCATAACATACATGTATGTGATTACCATAGTTCCTGACCCATGGGCAAAGGAATTGACAGGCCCTAACAACTCCTTTTATTTGCCAAGGGCTTTCTATGTGTTAGACACACTCTTAAGCACTCAACAGTCATCATCGTATTAAGTCCTCACAATAACCCCACAGGGAAAGCACCAAGACCATCCCCCCTTTTTTTGCCATTTGAGAAAATCGATTCTCAGAGACATTAAGTAACCTACCCAAGGCCACCCAGATGGTAAGTGGCAGAGCAAGGCACTGGCCCAAGGTCTGTCTGTCTTTCTGTGCACTGCAACCAGTCTGCAATAAGTCTATGACTATCAGAAGACTTCCTACATGAGATGGGCCCAGAGCTGGGACCTAAAGGAGTCAGACAATTAAAAGGCCATGTAGTGTGTGCTGAGGAAGGAGGGAATGGTGGTGGCTCTGAGACCAACTTAAATTCAAGGCTGACACCACAGCCAGAGTCCCAGGACAGAGGACACATGGGAGATGGCTGGTGGGAGGCATTTGAAGCCATCCCTCCTTCTGTCATCCAGAGAGGAGACTGCAGACAATTCCCATATGTCCCATCTCACAGGCAAGCCCCTTTTTCCCCAGTGAGCATGGGACGGGTGGCTTTGTCAATGGTGGAGAATCATGAGAGGTATGGAAGGAGAGCAGACACTGAGTCAGTGCTCCACCTCTTTCTCCTGGATGATCTTGGGTAAGGCCTTTCGTTAGATATAAACTGGAAATAAAAATGCATACCTCAAAGGGTCATTGTAAAACTCAAGAAAGGGACACCACCAAAAAAAGAAACTTCCAAATGTGCAAAGATGCCCAGTAAATGATAATTGCACAGTCTAAATTTCATGGAAGTTTAGGAATTTGGTCATTATGAGGAGGGACCAAAAGAGTTGGGTCAGACTAGGATTGAAAGGTCTCGGGCCCAGCCATTCACGCTGAGGTCATCTGGTTGGCAGGAATGACCCTCCTGAAGTCCTCCAAGACCAACAGTGACAAGTTTGAGAGGGACAGCATCGAAATCTTCACAGTGGAGACACTGGATCTGGGAGAACTGTGGAAAGTCAGGATCGGCCATGACAACACAGGTCTGGCTTCCCTCCCCTCTGTTATCTGCTAAGACCTTAAGGACCATGGACAGTGCCCTGTGGGCATCTGGGAAAGAAACTGGATGCCATCTGCCTTCCGTGACACAGCTTTCTCAAGCCTTTGAGCCCAGTGGAGCCCTGGTTGCACACAGAGACTCTGATCAAATTGGTCTGGAATGAGACCTGGACACTGGTGATTTCTACAGCCTTCCCCTATCCCCCAACCTCAGTAGTTTTCATATGCAGCTGTATTTGAAAACCCCTGATCCAGCTCAGTAGTTCTCTGACCTGAGTGTGCATTGGAACCATCTGGGGGTTATTAAAACACAGATTGCTAAGCCTGACCCCAGAGTCTTTGATTTAGTAGGTCTGGGCTGGGACCTGAGAATTTGCATTTCTCACAAGACTCCAGGTGAGGCTGAGGCTGCTGGTCTGGGGACCCCACTTTGAGAACCACTGATCTAGCCATCCCTTTGTGGAACCCACTGACATTGCAGCCAGACAGAGGATGTGCCCATGTTTTTTCTAAGTAAAGTAGGACTTTTTTTTCTTGGTCCTAATACCACCTCTTCTAAGCCCAAAGAAGGGACCCTCATCCTAGCACCCAGGACTGTAAGGACTGTAGGGACTGTAGGAAATGTAGAGACAGGGTTCTCTTTAAACTTCCATTTCCTTCTTTAAACTTGAGCACTCATTTTCCCAGAGAGACACATCCACTCATTTCCTCCATGCATTTCCCTTCCCTTCATCCATCACAAACTGAGCCAGGGAGTTGTGTCATCCTTGCCACTGGGTGAAATTATAAAGTCTTCGTGAGCACAGGCTCTCTTTGGCATCCCTGGGCTCCCTCTTTGGAGCCCTTTCCACCCTGGACAGCATCCTCACTTCCCTCCCTGCAGACTTTCCCTATCCACCTGCCATCTCCCGATGCTCTTTCACTCTTGCTAATTTTACTGACGGCAGCCTGGAGTGCACTCCAGCTTCATCCGGGTGCACGTTTAATAGGAATCATTTGAGCAATGCTGTCAGCAAAAGCGTGATACACTAACGGTGGAGCTGTAAGGATCAGCCATCGAGTAGGGAAAGATGTTTGGAGTCCTTGAAGTTACCCACAGGAAACACAAGTCCTTGATGGGTTCTCTGTCTCCTCTCTCTCCAGGGAAGGCACCAGGCTGGTTTGTAGACTGGGTGGAAGTGGACGCTCCATCTCTTGGAAAGTGCATGACGTTTCCCTGTGGTCGCTGGCTGGCTAAGAATGAAGACGACGGGACCATCATCAGGGACCTCTTCCCTGCAGAGCTTCAGACGAGGCTGTACACACCATGTAGGAACCACGCCCTCCTTTGGAACCCCGTTGCCTGCCACCCCAACTCTGCCCCAACTCTCCCTCCAGTACTGATTCTGGGCTAGGCCCACCTTGGAGATTTGGGTCTCTCATTTCTTTCCAAAATTTCTTGAGCTCTGTGGGGGCTGTGGACAGAGTCCTGGACCCAGGGAAAGAAAATACGGGATTTAATCCAAACTCTACTCCGAGCTAGTAGGGAGCCTAATCTCTCTAGGACTCAGTCTCCACATCTGTAAAATAGAGGTAATAATGCAGGATAGTTGTAAGATTCCAAAAAGAAGAAAGATAAGGTCTAATTGTGAAGAATCATTATCAACCCATTACTAATCCTTATTCTAGTCGTTAGCGGGCCAATGAAAACATCTCTATAAACTTTTCTCCTGATTGGGGGTGGGGAGGAGGGGGAGAATGCCAAAAGAAGGTAAATGTAATTCCTTTTACTGGCTAAAGGAAAAGAGGAAGGTGAGTAACTTGGTGAAGTTTTGACACTTCCTTTCCACTCTCGTCATCAGATAGTATACATTCAGTGTTTATATGCAGCTAAGTGTGTACTGGGTACTGAGAATCAAACTGAAATAAGCCAAACTATAAAAATTGTCTAAATTTGGTGAAATCCAAACCAAACTCAGAGCATACAATTTTCTTCTAACTAAATAATGAACTATACCAAAAGATTTCCCCCAAATAAATAAATAAATAAAGTGACATTTCCCTGGCCAGACATGTACAAAACAAACCCTCGATCCAGCCTCTGCCCCCAGGAGCCACCTACAGTCTAGAACAGACTCTGACCTGACAGATGTACACAGGTGTCAGCAGTATGGGGTGGGACCTTTGAGGATAGAGGTACCCACTGCTCTCTTTATGCCTCAGTATATGTCTTGTTCTGCACAAAAAAAAAAAAAGAAAGAAAGAAAGAAAGAAAAAAGGGATAAAAAAGTTTTGTATGCCTTGACCTTGAATATGTTCAGTTCCAGCCTGATATTAAAACTAACCCATTGACCTGTTGTCTTAAACTCACATTTGAAAAAACAAATGCAGGAAAGACTTGACTTTCAGGCTGAAGAGCTGAGATACAGCTTAGACGTGCAGCACCCTCAAGGTGGCACAGAGGAGGGGTCTGCTGCTCAGAACCTACTTCCCTGACTGGTGAAGGCCTTGGGGGACAAAAACCAGGGACCTCCAGCAAACTGGGAGCTGCAGTCCCAGGAATAGTGGGAATCAGTGCCCAGCTGTCCTTATCAGGGCACTAGAAAGAATCTCAGAACCTAGATTTGACAGTTCATCAGGCTGCCCAATACACGTGAAACCATAAAGAACAGACTCAGGAGAGCTGGTCAAGGAGCGTCTGAAATGTGCTGCCCACACAGGAGGCGCGTATGGGTTAGGAAGGGCTCCGTGGGATAGGCGGGGCACAGCATAGCACTCTGGATGTCAGAATCATGCCGCGTTAGGGCTGGGAGAAGCCCTGGTATGTGAAGGAGGTGTCTCAGGGCAGCTGGTGGATGGAGCAGAAAGGCTGAGAGAGGAAAGCCTCCCACCCAATTGATGCCATTCAGAGCAGCTCCTCAGCTTGAAAAAGTCACATTTTTTTCCAAACATTCTTGATAAATGAATTTACAGGAATTCCACATTTAAACAAACTGAAAACCACAGATCTAGCTTAAGATCCTCATTTTACAGGTGAGAAAACTGAGGCCCAGAGAAGTATTATCATTTGCCCAAAGACATACGGCTACCCAATAGCAGAAGCAGAACTAGAACCTGGGACCAAGCCTGGGCCTAGGCCTGGAGGAATGAGGGCTGAAGGGCGGGCCGGAAATGTCCAGGGCTTCTCCTGCCAGCTCGTCTCAGGAAAGCTCAGACCCTGTTGCCAGCTTTTCTGCTCAAAGCCTCCCAGGTCTTAGACCAGGGAGAAACCCAAGAGGACTCAAAGGAAAGGACTCCATGCTGTAGAGACGTGCCTCTGATATTGCTTGAGGGCCTGGCTGGATTGAGGCTGTGTTCCCCTTCAACCCACAAGTGAGGGCCCACTTAAGCCATTGTGGGGCTGGTAGTCACCTCCATGGGCTACCCCTATGGCCTGGTGGCTTGTGGGTAGGCAGCAGGGCTTACCTCCAGTTCACCATGACAACACCCCTAGAGGCTGATCACACAGCCTTTGAGGTTAGACAAGGGTTCAAGTTCAAGTTTCATCACGTAACCTTCGGCAAGTTACCTGACCTCTCTGAACCTTAGTTTTCTCATCTGTGAAATGGGTATAATAATACCTACTTTATCAGGTCATTGTGGGTATTAAAGGAAATAAGGACTATAGAGAGCTTAGTACAGAGTCTGGCATATGGTAAGTACTCAATCAGTAATGACTATTACTACTACAACAATTCCTACTACAGTTCTACAGTGAAGTACCCATGACAATAAATGAAAAGCAAATTCTTCATCTGGAGAAGGTTGGGGCCACCTGAGAGAAGGTCACTTCTAATGTGACTCCTTTCAAGGGTCGAGATTCCACTGGAACTCTTTCTTCTGGGTTTTCGGTCTTCTTTTTTTTTTTTTTTAACTGTGACCCATATTCATATACATTTCCAACAAACAAGTGTCACAAAAAAGTTACCCTCACTATGTGTGATATACAGTAATATTTTCTATTCGATTCTATTCGGTTCCATATATTTTAAAAAATACTAGTGACAGCCCACTAAGCTGATTTAACAACGCTTTAATGAACGAACCTGCTAACGAACTAACCTATAGATAACAATGCATTGTTTTAGACTACTGGTCTCAGGCTTCAGTGTAAAGTGTGAGTTAAATATTTAGATCCCTAGATCCACCCTGCAGAGAATCTGAGAAGGGGTTTGAGAATCTGCATTTTTAACAAGCATCCCAAAAGCTATGAAGCAAAGGGTCTTCATTCGATGCATGGAGAAATAATGTTCTCTACTCCTGATGGAGGCCACCCACTGGGACAGCATTGATGGGTCAACTCTCATTCAAGGACAGATAGTCCCTCGTGCAACTGAGTAAACTCTGGCTCAGCTCTCACCTGCACCTATCTCCTCCCTTATGGAAGACCCCTATAAAGTGAAGGAACTGAGTGAGGCAGCCGGTGTGGCATGGGTGGATTTGCGTCAGGCCAGCTTGGAGTGAGTGAGGGGCTGGAAGCAGAGGATGGTGAGAAAAGAGACAGGATTCTCACCACTGCAGATAGGCTGATTCCAATGGTGAGTTGTCCACTGAAACCTAATGCTCCTGTTTGTAGAATATCTTCAGATAAGCAACATGTCAAGGGCACTTTACAGATAATGGAAACTGAGGCTTGTAAGTAACTTTCCCAGGTCATGCAGATAGTTGAGTTACAGCCTGGGCTTGTTGAATTCAAAAGCCTGTGCTTTCAACCAATCCGCTTTACTAGCTCTGTGATGTGAAAGGCTCGAAGACCCAGGTCTGAAGGGACTGGGGCCTTCCATGGGCGATTGGCATGACAGGCCTCCCACCTGTGGTTGCTAGGCAACCATATGAAGGTCTAAGTCCCTGGGCAGCAGCTCCCCAGTGAAAGGGTCTGGGCAGGTGGTACTGTGAAGAATTTTATCTCAGCCATGTTTCTTTTCTGTTCTTTCATCCCCTCTGGCTTTGCCCTCTGGCCATCACCATCAGTCGTCCCTTATGAGATCACCCTCTACACCAGTGATGTTTTTGCTGCTGGGACAGATGCCAACATCTTCATTGTCATCTACGGCTGCGATGCTGTGTGCACCCAGCAGAAGTACCTGTGCACCAACAAAAGGGAGCAGAAGGTGTTCTTTGAGAGGAAATCTGCTTCCCGCTTCATTGTGGAGGTACCTGGCTCAGCAGGCTGTCCCAGATTGGGGTGGGCCAGAGAGACGGCAGGGAAAGGAGCCCTGCATTCAGGGCAGTACACACACCCTTCTTGATGGGCTGGTATTAGTGAGGAAGAAACGCAGCTCATCTAATCTCTCTGGGCCTCAGTACATCCAACTAACCAGGAGGATGTGAAGCTTACCCTGCCCCTCCAGGACTGGTGTCAAGGTCAAAAGCACTAATGGATAGAGGACTTGGGAAAGCTAGAGGCACAGTGCCAGTGGGGCATCTCTGCCGCTTGGAACAACAGCAGACACCTATCCACAGGTGCAGCATGGCTTCCAGACTTGCTGGCTCTGGGGTGCCGGGGCGGATAGGGATCCCACCACCAGTGATCAAGTAGGGATAGGGTCTCCTATTCAGCTCTCAAGCTATGGCCAAACAAGTCAATACAGGAAAACATCCTGTGTAATCCACAGCTCCCCCATTAGGTTTCCACAATGGGGGTTTATTGTTAGATGTTTACTATGGATGAAGGTCACAGCACCATGAAATCCCATACACTTCAATTCAATGTACACTCTCTGTGCCTGCCCTGGGTGCCCAGCTGTGTGCTAGGTTGGGAGGGAGACACAAGAGAAGGGGAGTGCCCAGAACCTGCCTGTGAGGGGGTTGCAGTCTAGATGGGGACCCCAGGCCTTCACACAAAGCTGACGGAAGAGTCTGGTGATCATCATCATAACTGACCTTATGGGACAGAGGGCACTGTCCTAAAGGATTTATCTGTATTAACTCACAACCCTCACAACAACTCTGTGCTGTAATTATCTCTGTGCAAAGATGGGGAAACTGAGGCACAGAGCATTTAGTAGCTTACCTAAAACCACACAGCTAGGATGTAGTGGAAACAGCACTTAAACCCAGGAAGATTGTCTCCAGAATATGGGCTCTTAGCTATTGCAGTAGACTAGAAAGCAAACTAAGCTTGCCCTATAGGTGGTGGAGAAGGCGGAGGCTCCCTGGAAGAGGTGGCTTTGAAGGGGACCTGAAAGTGGGCACAAGCAGGGACGGGGAGGAAAAGTATTCCTAGCAAGGAGAACAGCATAGCCAAGGGCCCAACAGTGGAAAGAAGCACAGCGTGTGCTTTGAGATTTGGCTAGAATGCCAGGAGGAGCTGCGGTGACTTGGGCAGAGGCAGGGATGAGCCAGGGTGCGGAGGGGAAGCACAGGAGACCCTGAAGGAGAAGAGCCAGGAGCCCTGGGAGCCTGGACTCTCCAGGTAGCGGGCCCCTTAGTCTGTGGTGGGGAACAAACTCCAGAGCACCTTCCTTCTTCCTTGGGCAGCCTCTGTCCCAGGGGACCCCCTGTTCCCTCCCCACCTTCTCTAGGAACAGTCAGCACCTGTGGGAAGGTCTACCACCTTTGTTGTCTTTTAACACAGAAAATTCAAGGGTGATTCATTCATCCACACAAAGCTAACATGTGGAGAAGGCGGAGGCTCCCTGGAAGAGGTGGCTTTGAAGGGGACCTGAAAGTGGGCACAAGCAGGGACGAGGAGGAAAAGTATTCCTAGCAAGGAAAACAGCATAGCCAAGGGCCCAACAGTGGAAAGAAGCACAGCATGTGCTTTGAGATTTGGCTAGAATGCCAGGAGGAGCTGCGGTGACTTGGGCAGAGGGCAGGGATGAGCCAAGGTGCGGAGGGGAAGCACAGGAGACCCTGAAGGAGAAGAGCCAGGAGCCCTGGGAGCCTGGACTCTCCAGGTAGTGGGCCCCTTAGTCTGTGGTGGGGAACAAACTCCAGAGCACCTTCCTTCTTCCTTGGCCAGCCTCTGTCCCAGGGGACCCCCTGTTCCCTCCCCACCTTCTCTAGGAACAGTCAGCACCTGTGGGAAGGTCTACCATCTTTGTTGTCTTTTAACACAGAAAATTCAAGGGTGATTCATTCATCCACACAAAGCTAACATCTCATCCACCCAATGTTGTGGTGCCTGAGTCACCCAAGCCTGATGCCGTCAGTAGCTGAGGCTGTGATTACGCCTCAGCACGACTTCCAGAGCGTTTTATCAATGAAGTCCCCACTAATATACAGCTATAATTTGCTGGTAATTTGTTGCTATTTTTTTCTTTCTTTTTTTTTTTTCAAATCCATCTGGGTCTTAGGGGAGCATGAAAGCTTGGAAACGATGAAAAAGCTTTGTCTGCTGGCCTCTGTCCCTCCATCTTCCTGCATGCCTGCTTCTCCTCTTCTCTTTTCCAATTGATCTTCAGGTAACAGGTAGAGCACTGGATTGTGAATCCATAACCCTGGGTTCCGACTCTGGCTCAGAAGCTAACTCCTGAGCAAGCCACTTCTCTCTCTGTGGCCCTGTCCTAAGACAAAGGTGTTGGCCAGGAAAAGAGCAATGACAGCTAAGAGTCACTGAGCATGTCCTTTGTGCCAGCCCTTCTCTAAGCACTTGATGTGTGTCAACTCATTTAATCCTTATCGCATTTCCGAGAGGGAGGCAGCATGATTACCCCATTTCATAGATGAGGAAATGGAGCACAGGAAGGTTAAGTAATTTAGTCAAAGGGTCATAAAAACAGCAGATCTGGGATCTGGACTCAAGCTGTTCAGTTCCAGAATCTTTTCTGCTTAATTCTTTCACCTCCCAGGAGAACACCAGATCCTTCTGA